TACTGGCAATAAATTTTGGAGTCATGAGGCCTATTTTTTTATAGCTAAACTGCTGCACTAGTTCACAGTTTATCTTTCTACATTGGAAGAAGAAAAATAAACTCTAAATTTGTGTAGCCAGTTCAGCTATGAAAAACAGATCTATGATAAAAATAAACCGAACATAAAGCCCGTATCCTCATACATATACATATGTATAAGGACCTAACAGTACTTTAGATTTCAAAAAAATATGCAGTGAGAATTTAGAGGTCGTTTATTTCGGGCGCTGTAAGCTTCATTGACTGCATTCAGGGCTACGTTCCAAAACTCTACTCTATCAACTCTTACGAACCCAGAGTAGTGGGGGAAAGAGTAACATAGAGTTAGTTACTAGAGTTGAATACATTAAGAACGGAAAAGAGTAAGTAGTAAGAGTAAGTAAGAGCTAATAAGTAGAGAATATGGAGATATCCAAATTTATATGCATTGCGATTAACGAAATGTTAAAAAAACGCTCTAGAATTAGATCTAAATAGCAGTGACAGTGAAGATGAAATAGGTGATTTATTGTATCTCGTGCAACATTTTCGATTGAGAGGAAAACGAATAAAAGTCTTGCGATTAAAAGGTTATGTAGATAATATAGTGCCTAGATTTTCGACGCGACAATTTAAGGAACATTTCCGCATGACTCCAAATACTTTCCACTTACTGGAAAATAAATTGAGTTTAATGCTATCGAAGCAGAATAATATGGGAAGATCTGTTATATCTCCAAGAGTGCAATTACTTGCCACATTGTGGTTGCTGGCAACACCCGATTCTTACAGGTAAATTTTAATAATATCAGAAAAAATATTAATATTCAATATTAATTAATTGATTTATTATAATTTATATACTTTTTAATATATATACTATTATAATATATACTTTTGGTTACAATAACATAAAAAGTGAAATTGTACAAATAAGTCTATTCAATAAGATTTACTTTTTACAATTTCATTTTTCATGTTGATATACTCGAAATTATGTATGTTATAATAAGTAAATAAATATCAAATAAATAATATTAATAATATGAGTAAATAATAATAATAATAAGAAGATAATTAAGTATTGTTTTAAATGTATACAATAATCAATATATATAATAACCATAGGAAATGGTTAATAAGATATATTTGTTATTATAGATCTGTTGGACTTAAATTTGATCTAGCTAAATCATTATTAAATCATTGTGTACGACGTGTTATTGACGCTCTTTGTAAAATATCAAATACAATTATTCAATGGCCATCTGTAGATCACATGGACATTGTAACACAACAATTTAAAGATATAGCTGGTCTTAAACATGTGCTCGGTGCTATTGATGGCACACATATAGAAATTCCAGCACCATCTGTAATTATGATAACTTAACTTTTTGTAGTTTAATATACTCCATAAAGTTTATTAAATTTAATTAATAAAATAAATAAAAAACGTAATTATTGTAGATACAGCCTGAATGTTATTTAACACGAAAGTGTAGATATGCAATAAGTCTTCAAGCAATCTGTGATGCTAAATTAAAATTTATTGATTGCTATGCTGGTTATCCAGGCTCCGTTGGTGACCTTCGAGTCTTTCGCAACTCTAACTTTTGGCACAGTGTTCACAGAAATCCAACTTTGTTCTTTCCCAATGAAGAATTCATTGTAGGAGACAAAGCTTACCCTATACGAAAATGGTGTCTGACAGCTTATAGAGACAATGGTCATTTATCAGAGGTAAATTAATTATGTCGCAGGGGAGGGGGAAGAGATTTATTAGGTACAAGCAAGCATCAGTACTTATTAAAATTGTTTAATAACGTGTTGAATATTAACTGACACCTGTATTTCGCTCGTCTTTGACTTCTTATCTTGACTTAATTTTATTTATTATAAATCAGTAATAATGTCAATATATCTTTTTATGTGTTATTACTTTTATCTGTTACAGGTTGAAAATAATTTTAATGAAGTTTTATCTCAAACTAGACAAACAATTGAACGTGCTTTTGGTTTATTGAAAGGCCGTTTTCGACGTTTAAAATATCTCGATATGCATAGAACGGATTTGATACCAGCAACGATTCTGGCTTGTTGCGTTCTTCACAATATATGTCTGAATAATGTTGATATTTTGGAAGATAATGATATTTTGGAAGATGATGTTACAAATCAAAATATAGATATAGCAATTGAAGATGATGAACATGATCAAGATGATGAGGGCATAGCTAAACGCAATTATTTTGCAATACTTTTACATCGCGAAAGATCGTAATAAATGTTAATAATTAACGTTATACATGTATATATACGTTTATTTATTTTATACATATTATACATATAAAATATAAAATAAAACAAAATAAAACAAAATAGTTTTCACATTCACATATAATCTTCCTTATTTTCTCCCTTATTTTTATTTGCTTTAATAGTTTTCATTGCACTTACATATAACTATTAGAATTTATGTTAATCTGCAATTTTACATTGGATATCAAATTTATGTTATACTTTTTTCTTTTTAACATAAATATGCATAACATAATATTATTTTAAAAAAAATAAAATTGTCACTTTTTAAATATATATTAATATTATTATTAACTTATTTAATAGTATCACTTTGTAAATTATACTTTGACTTAGTTTTTTTTAATCAGTACCCCATAAAATTAATACTATAAAAATTCTAACATAACATCAGGTACATAAAATATTGATTTGAGCAAAAAAAATTTATCAATTTCATAGAAAAAATATTGTTGGAAAGAGTACTTAAATTGATAGCTTATTAATAAAAAAAAATGAAATAAGATACTTAAGTATACAGGTTAATTTATAATTTTTCCAATAGTTTACTCATTAATTTCTTATACGTGTTTAAAGCTTCTTGTTGCTGCTCAAGTTTTTCCTTATGCCTTCTTTCTCGTGCTTCTTCATTTTTCTGTATATATTCTGTCAAAACATTTATCTGCTTGTCCACTTTACTTTTTTTCGATGGTGGTGTGCCATTATCCTCAAAACATTTTTGTCCGTCATCTGATGAAGAAGGCATATCTTTCTGTGATAGATTTGACGCAACAGCCACAGGTTGTACGATGTGGGATGTTCCAAATATTTCATCCATTTCTTCATAATATTTACACTTTTTAAGTGATGCTCCAGACTGAGAGTTGTTATCTTTAACTTTAATGTAATTCTTTCGTAAGTTTTTCCATTTATTTTCAACTTGTTTCGCTGTAAACGTATAACTAAGGCACTATAAGATGTAGGTATTCCTATCCGCCATCTTGGTTCCAATTGGTTTAATAGTTACTTTCCATTTTCACATAAATAATACTGAATCTAAAGTTATGTGAGTATTTTTATACTCA